CGATATTAGCTTCTGTGGAAGAGGTTGTGACAGAGCTTTGACTGTGATTTGGTGTGGTTTAAATTTTGTTGTTGTTGTTTTATTTAATATTCATTAGTTATGCTATCGCATATTGCTTCCGTTGTTGTTTTCCACTGTTTTCCTGATAATGCAGTGGTGGTGGCACAAATGTACAGGACAATGTGGGCAAGTTGAGGCTAATTTTTTTCTTTTAACTTCTAAATATTTGCCTCTAACTCTAGCAATACTTAGTTAATGTACTTTAATTTGCTGTTTAATGTATTATAATTACTAACATTTTTCTGAAAACTGCGAGCAATAAAAGCTCTCCAGCTTGAAAGGACTGCCCTAATCCCTACTACTGTCAGATCTTTTGTTCTTCTCGGGTCTGAAGCTCATTTTTTGCAGTCTTTAGTCCTAAATGTTTGTCTTTAGACATTGATTCCTGAAGAAGAGATCTGAAGGAAATATCTTTTCCTTATTGCCTGTAGTGTCAATTAGTCCCATTTTTACTATAATTTGAAGTCGAGAAGGAAGAGAAGATTTGAGCCTCTTAAGAATACAGTAAAACCAATCCTTTACTGAATGAGGGATCAGACAGAAATATGAGCTCTCTGATCTCCAAGAAGAGGTACCTATTTGGGCAATTTGGGTACCAGCAATAGTACCCACTACCAGCAATGTTGCCAGAAAAGAAGGGAGTCAAGAACCAGCCTCATACACAGATGTTATGGTGCATTTCTTGTAGAAATATCCTTTCTAGATATTGGCTGTTACATGTTGCCAAACATGCCCTGTAGTGATAACAGATGTCTAGCTTATTGTTCTACTGGATAAGAAAGATGAGCAAGAAATAAATTAGAGAAGTTAGCAAAACCAGAAAGCATTTTGCAAGGTCAGATGTTACCTAATTTGAAATTATTTATTAAGATGATAATTCAAACCTAGCTTATGTATATTGAGAGTTTATTCACTTTTACTTAAACAGCTTCATTGGATTTAGCAATGCTACTGTCACAGCTGAGAGCAGAATATGGATTTTCTTTAAAATGGATCTTATTTTAAAATGTCAGAGATTATTTAAACTGAATTATTCTGAGAATTAAATACATTTTCTGTAACAGACTACTTTTCAATAATTTATTTCTTGTGAAATCTTTTCCTGGTATATTTTCGTTATCAGAAGAAAAGAATAAATATCTCCTCTTTGAGTATGCCTAAGAATATAGTATTGTAATATCATCAGACAAAATTATAGGAAAAACAAATCAATAATTTCAACACCAGTATTTAACTTCCATAATTTCCATTAATAAAAATAGATCTTGTTTATATTCTTCTTCAAAATGTATCATTTTAAGTACTTTTCAAAAGCGAGGGCTAGAAATGTAATACCAAATATAATCTCTAGCATAAATAGTTGGTTTAGGTTTTTTTGCTTTCTATATAAGCAGTAGCTACTATTGAGTGATGTAAAATACATTGCTATTAAGAGAATTTAGTTGAACAAACTGAAGGTAGTTCAATAAAGTCAAGGAAGCTGGTCTAAATACTTGTTTAACTAGGCTTTTTTTGCGTTGCACCACTGAAGTGTTGATTGGAATAGCTGTTAGCAATATTAATCTCTAAACTGATACCTTGCACACTTTAAATGGAAAGATAAATGTAGGTTAAGGTAATTAATGTTCACCATAATTTGTGCTCACAATTGGTAAATCTCAAGTGCTTTAGTGAAATTTCTCTCAATGCACTCCAGAAGCTGACCAGGAGGACAGTTGGGCTGACAGGGACCTCTTTTAGGTGATTTGGAAGTGTAGCAATAGTCCTACATTGTCATCTCCAGCAGTCTGGAGTCTGCTACGCTTCACATTATGGCAAACTGATCTACTCCAAGAACAGAGGAAGAAAAGAACATGCCCTTTTTTCTAGTCAACTGCAGTTTTCCCCATCCAGAGAATCATGCTTATCTTCAGTTTCTAAGTTTTACCAGTTCTCCCTGTTGTGGGTTTTTAGTCGGCTTCATACTGTCATAAGAGAGCAGAGAAAACAAGATTCTCTTTACCTATGTAATATTATAATTAAACCCATACTCTCTGTTCTGCCCCTCAATTCATATATTTCTTTTAAGAATTCGTTTTCTCACAAGGTATTTAATATAGTAAAGGCTTTTGCATCTGTAGATCCTTAGCTGTCCAGATGTTCAGAGGTCTCATCAGTTGTGCTGTCCTTCTGAAAGTGCACCTGATTTAAAAAAAGATAAGTCTTGCATATGTAGGTGAGTTTTGTCATCTGATTAAAGATCAGTATTTAAAAAACAGATACCCAAAGAACTCCGCATTTATTTTCTCAAATGTGTACTGTATGCAGAAGTGAAAGCTTTTTTTCATAAACATGATCCTTTGTGTCTCTACTCTCCAATTTCCTGGTTAGTTTGTGCATTATAACAAAACCTATGATAGCCTTCAAATAAGTGGATATTTTTAAAAGAAATAAATAAGTACATAAGGCTGTTTTTATATAATGCATTAATATGGAAGTGATAACTCTCTGTTATGATTATTGCTCCTTTTGGATGAGGCATCTTGGTAAGAATGCCTTTTGTGATTAATTTAAAGGAACTGTTACAACAGATAAGAATAAAGGAGCCAATATTGGTTTGGAAACCAAAAAAGATAATAAGTATAATAAAAAGTTGATTAGACAGTCTCTTTCCAGAAGTCTCTGTTGAAAGCAGTGAAAACCTTGGAGGTATGTCAGGTGTTAATTAGACATTCATTTTACTGGTACCAAACTTTAAACTTAGACATGGACTTGTGCCCTTCATTAATAAGATGACTCAAGACCAAAATTTTAAGAAATGTTACTTACTTTGCAGCTGGAGCAAGAATCCAAATGTTAATATGCTTTGTCTAGAAGTCTCTCTAACAAGAGAAACTTTTCATGGTAGCTCCCTAGATGGATAGTTTTTTCCCATCAATATTTGAAAGAGGCAGGAAACTATTTTCTGTTTTGGTTCTCCTTCTATAGAAGTAAACTTATGCCAGTTTGCATTTTTAGATTCTAGTGAGGAAAAAACCCACATTTAAAACTAATATAAGATATGTGGTACTTTTTGCAGCAAAAAATAATAGTATTGTAATCTTCTGTAGCAGAATAAAATGCAAATATAATACTTCTGCCATTTTAGTTCTTGTATGATGGCACTCCCAATGTTAAACTTTTTTAAAGATCCAGTCTCTAAATGATGTCAAAATTTGTTTTGTAAAATAGATATCTATCTGTCAGAGCTGATGATGGTTTATACAATTGCTTATACAATTGTCAGTCTGTTCAACCAAGTAACAAGTGATAGGACAAGAGGAAATGGCCTCACGTTGCACTAAGGGAAGTTTGGATTGGATATTAGGAAGAATTTCTTTGCTGAAAGGGTTATCAGGCACTGGGTTATCAGGCACGGGCTGCCCAGGCTAGTGGTGGAGTCCCCATTGCTGGAGGTATTTATGAGTCATGTAGATATAGTGCTTAGGGACATGGTTTAGTTGGGGACTTGTCAGTGTTAGGTTAATGATTGGACTTGATGATCTTAAAGGTCTTTTCCAATCTAGGCAATTCTGTGATTCTTTGAATCTGTAATTTAGGTTTTAAGTTGCATAGTTTAGGCATATCAATAGCACAAGCTTTATTGTTAGCTGCACAAGTGCTCTTTTGCCTTGTGGGTCCTTGGGGAATGCTTCCCATACTGCTGCACCTGTGTGCTTGTTGGTACACGGGTTTACTTAGGTACTTCAGTGCAAGGTACTGTTTGCAGGGCATCCTGTAGACCTGCTTCATATTTTGAACTATTTGAAATTACCTGCATTTTGATTACATTTGCACACTGTCTATATGCCATACTATAAACTTATTGATTGTAAAAAAACATTGCAAATAGATCTCAGCTGAAAATTAAAGTCTTGTTATACAGTCTCGTCAACTGAAACTGGAACAATAATCAATGACCATGTTTAGAAAGGTAGTAAAGACCCTAGAAGTTGCAGAAATATTCTTAAATACATTTACAAAAGCGTAAAACATCTAAAAGGCAGCAGTGCACTATTATCCTATTAAAAATACTACCAAAAAATAGGTTTAAGATTTTGACCTAAAGTATTTGTCCTAACTAACGTTTCAGGAGACTATTGAGGTTTGAGTCTTACAGTGAAACCTTCTTAATTTGGTAAAGCAGATGTCCTGAATTGAGTACTGAAATGAATCTCACTGCTTGCTGGTTATCATGTTTAGTTTTTCCACAAGATATCGCTGAATTTGTCCTCTTCCACCACTTGAGCTACATTTCCCACTAAAATTAGAATTTTATTCATTCACGTACATGATTATTTTATTAATAGTGGCTATTTCCTAATACCTAGAAAAAAAAAAAAATAGTTCACGATGCATTCCATTAGAGTAACCATATAATTTGCATTGATACAAATACTGGAAAGTCCAAAATACAGTATGCTGCAGTTCAAAACTTGTTCATCTAAAAATGTTTTGATCTAAGTCCTATACACTGCTATTTCACTTAAGCTCTTTTAATTGTGCAACTGATGTATTAGGTTGTAGCTTACCTCCTTTTTAAATTATTCTTGTTTTCCAACTTTTCGAAGCACTTTCCAAAAGTTAACATTTTAGATTTTTCAAAAGGCTGCCAAGTTGAAGACATTTCCTCTAGAAAAATGAATTATTTGTACATTTTCCTTTTAAAAATGTTAGTTTAAATGTTACAGCAAGCGAACAGGCATGTAACAGGGTTTAACACCAAAAAAATTGTAATAACATAGCAATTGTATTCATTTTGTATATAATGATTATTTACCAGTGTAACTGAATATGTCACTGTAGAGAACAAAAACCTAAACTTGAATTCCTTATAGCTTTTTTGGTATGTCCTTATATTATTTTTACTTGTACTGTTACTGATCTATAAAAAAGTCCTTTCTCTGCTTTCTCTTTTATAGTTGTTCGAGATCACAGTGCCTCTCTCTCATGGCCCCAAACCTGTAACCGTCAGCTTTGCCAATCACACCTCCTGCCGATGCATGTCCAAGCTGGATGTTTACAGACAAGTTCATTCTATCATAAGACGTTCCTTGCCAGCAACACAAACTCAGTAAGTATAACCCTTGTCTTTCCTTTCACATTAAGAGCAAACCTGTACAATTAAATTTAAAATACTGCTGGAAGCTGTCATAATTAAGACAGGTGAACGTGTATACGTTAGTAGTAACAGAATGCATTCTATAAGGGACCTAATATTGTTTTACATGGAGAGAATGTTACTAGAGTAATTAGCACAGTACCTTTTTACCCAATGGATAAACTGGGACTAGGCCATTTAAAAATGAGGAATAACATTGTTTGTGGGATTATTTCATGGAAAGAGCTACAATGCAATTGAGGCTTAAAGGAAACATCAATAAGTTTGGGGTTTTTTTTAATTATAAAAACAGAAAAATACTTTTGCAAGTAAGGAGTAGACACCATTTCTCTCTGCAACTGTGTTTTCCTATTTAAAAAGCTGTTTAAAACAGGCCTATTTTTAGGGAATTTTTGACAACTACTCTTTTTGGCCATCTTCAGATGCCAGAAATGAAAATAAAACAGAATGAGAAGGGGAAATAAAGGGTTAATTAACAGCTTTTTGAATGAAAAAAGTCACAGAAGAAATCTAGCACTGAAGAAATTATTCTTCTTCCCTTCTTTTTAGAGGACAGAGTGATGATTTCATGATGTATAAATATTTAGTAGGCCAAAAATATGTAACAGACTAACAGTTGCTTTATGGAAGAGCTAAAGACTGGAAGCTGAACTGGAATTAATTGTAGACATTTTGAATAAGGTGAATGAATAGTGCAAAATGCCCAGAGATGTAAGCTAGGTTGATTTCTCTGTATTTTCATTCAGTTAAAGTCTGGATGTTTTCCAGACTTTAACTGATATGTTCCAGCGAAACACAGATTATATTCTGTTTGAATTCAAAAGATTTAATTTGTTCATCAAAACATGGATCATAAACAGTGGATTAGAAAAATATTAGGAAATAAATCTAGTAATAGTTTAATTAATTGCATAATTAACAGATTTTTTTAAAAAAATCAAAACCCAGGAGTCAATAATAAAGTCAAATTATGCTGACTGTTGGCAGCTTCTTAGTGCTTCCGGATTAAAAGCAGTTGTAATTACCATTGCAAGAGTTTATTCTAGCCAGGAAACAGCTACCTATAGTTAGAGAGAAGTAAGTGTACAGATAAAAGACTTTGACCAGCACTCGCAGGTAGCTCGCTGTCCTGCGAGTAAGGAATCATGCTTCAACAAAGGTAAGACTGAGTAGTACCGGGTCAGAATATATACAGACCTTCTCTGATGTAACATACTGTCTTTAAGTTTAAAATCTATGTTTTTCCCAAGAAAATAGAAAAAAAAACCCAAACAAACAAAAAACAACCAACCACACAAAAGCAAACAAACAAAAAAAACCCAAGCCGAGTGCTTCTAGATTCTAGACAGGAAAGTAAAGGTATTTGCATGTTCCTGGTGGTGCCTGGATGCTTTTCAGAATCCCACTGGTGCTTTTTAATTTGTACTACAGTTCTCAATTTCTTTTCAACTTATTATTTTTTCTTAACATTTTTATTTATAGGTTTGAATGTTAGAGAAGCTGTTGTAAAGCCAAAACTTGGAAATGGGCTTTCTTGTCACAGTGACAGATCTGCATATGTGCTCATTAAATGCTCATTTTAACAGAAATGTAGTCATGACTTTCTTATGTATGACTGAAAAGAAATGCCTAGGAGTATAATCTCTGGTTTTAGGGTACTAACACTTGGAATCTAATAAGAATTCAAGGCTGGATTATGGCACAATACGCAGGCACATGTTAGAAAGAAGAGAGAAATTACATGTAAGATAGCATACAAATAGTTGATCTTTTTTTATATAAAATATATTTTCTGCACCACTTTATCCTGACAATCAAGGTCTAGGTCTTTGCCTGTTTTACTTTTTTCCTTTTTTTCTTCTGGAAAATAGTAGCTAACTCTATGTTTTTAGGGAGGTGAGGCATGTCAGTTCATGTTAACCAGTGTTTCAGAATACCTCCTGTATTAATGGCATCTTAAGTTGTGCTCTTCTCTGTTTATATAGAATGTCATCAAGACCTGCAACTGAGTTAGAAAATTGTCACTCTATTTTAGAAGTTTAGTGATTTGGGGTGTTGAGGCATAGAGAGGTCTTCAATATACATAATTCAGATAACTGTTTTTTACCATGGTTTGTAGGTAGGTGCTTACAGAGCTGATAAGCATATTTTAGGTGTGGTTTGGATATATGTTGTACACATTAAATGTTTTTCCCTCTTGTGCGTTATCTGTTCTGACATTGACAGTTAACTGGTTAGCATTTTTTCTCATGCTTTTTTTTTTTTTTTTTTTAATTGAGTTGACAATGATTTAGAAAGAGGTAGTGAAATTTTCTGCAAAGTGGTTTTGCTTCTGATTTTTCTTTTTTTCCTAGCCTTCCTGAACTTACCTAAAATGTTACAATAAGTAATTTTAAAATTTCAGCCATATTGCAGAGTAACTTTCTGTACTAGCCAACCAGAGCAGAATTTGTAAACAAACAGTTCCACTTCCTTTTGCTGGATGTGTCCAACCCTGATGCTGAAATACCTATCATTCTCTTCAAGTTCTGGTAACTTAAGTTTTGTATCAGCATTGTCTTCTGATGGATTCATGTGTGCTTGGTGTTTTCTTCATACTGTCACCCTGGTTTCCTTCTGTAGTTAGTTTTAAACACTCCTGGCTAGAGCCAGTCTGCTCCAGGTGTGAGTTTTTGGGGGTTTTTTGAATAGAATACAATAATACATCTGTAAATTATCCATACCATTTCTCAAGCAGAATTAGGAGGCAGGCAAAGGGACATATGTGCCAAGTGAGGGAGCAAGAGTGAGATAATTAGCAGAATGAAATCAGGAAACACCAGCTTCATAAAACATGGGGTGATGCAGGGTGATGTTAAACTACAGCAGTCTTTACAAGCAACGAGTTGTTTAATCTGGTGAAAAGGAGTGGTATACTTGAATGATGATCACAGAAGAATGTCCCAGCACCTGCATTTTTGAATGCATGAGTAATGGTGCTCAGGGGAATGAAAAGTTCTTAAAATGTGTAATGCATGTGCTGTCTTAACAGATGAGGATTTCAGAAATACTGCATGAACAGTGAATACATGACACAGCCTGGATGCAAGAAGTTAGGCATGACTCGTTAAAAGTTGTAATGTCACCTGTGGTGATAAAGATATTGCAAGCTAGAAAGATGAAATAATACACAAATATTGTATCTGTGGTGTACCTACCAGTTAAGTCCAGTCATCCTTTAAAAAGATACCAACTGCTATTAGGATTTTTTGCTTTCTTTGCTTACCACTACCTTGGCTGCAAAACTCTTATCAGGTAAAGAGCATTAAACTGTTAAAGGGTTTATTGCATTTCGTTTCTAAAGTGAAGTCTCATCAATGCTGAAGTTTAAATCTTTAGATTCAAGAAAGCTGTCCAGGATTTGAGTGGCTGATGAGAAAGAGTCAGTTAATGTCATATAACTTTCAAATAAAGGGGAAAGGATTCTGATAATCTAATTTTGTTTTAGAAATTAGAGTTTGGTCTACAGCGTTCATTCAGAAACTATTATCAGCTGTCTTTTGATGTCTATATGTGTGAAAACATTTTTGCAATGTAAAAAACAGTGTAGAAAATTATGCCTGTTGCCACCTATGAGGTATTTGGCATGCAAATATTTTTTTATACTGGTCTACTATTATCAGCTGTCTTTTGATGTCTATATGTGTGAAAACATTTTTGCAATGTAAAAAAAAAGGGTTAGATCTGTTTCCAAACTACATTAGGAAAGTACAGATGTCAGGTTCTAGAAGTTAGAACTGAAACTTGAAATATGAGAAGGTATTTTGAACCAATGGTAGAATATTCCTGTAGTGGGGAGAATATTAATGAGTAATGGATTTGATAAGAGTTAAAAATAAGATTATGAACGGGCTGAAGCTCTTTGAAAGGTTTTTGTGATGGAGGGAAACAAAAGCAATTAGCACCTAAAATTGTTTTTTCTTCTTGAGTTCTTATGATAGTAAATCAACAGTATATTTCATTCCACAGATGTCATGTGGCAAACAAGACCTGTCCGAAAAATCATATCTGGAATAATCAAATTTGCAGATGTTTGGCACAACATGATTTTGGTTTCTCTTCTCACCTTGGAGATTCTGGTAAGCAGTTTTGCTTAAAAGATTAAATATAGTTCCATGTTTTGATTTACCTAAAGGAGAAATTAAAAACATTAAAAGTAAATAGTTGAATGTTTTTCTTTATTGATACTATTACAGGTTGTTGCCTGTCTTTTGATATATGTTTGTTCTTAAAGCATGTTCAGATGTATTAATTCAATACCATTTTTTCCATTAAAAATACGGGATAGATAGTGATAATTGTGCAGCTTCTCTACTGTATTTCCAGACACGTCTGAAGGATTTCATATTTGTGGACCAAACAAAGAGCTGGATGAAGAAACCTGTCAATGTGTCTGCAAAGGAGGCGTGCGACCTTCAAGCTGTGGACCTCACAAAGAATTAGACAGATCATCATGTCAGTGCATGTGCAAAAACAAACTTCTCCCCACTTCCTGTGGGCCCAACAAGGAATTTGATGAAGATAAGTGCCAGTGTGTATGTAAAAAGACCTGTCCTAAACATCAGCCACTAAATCCTGCGAAATGCATCTGTGAATGTATAGAATCTCCCAATAAATGCTTCTTAAAAGGAAAAAGGTTCCATCACCAGACATGCAGGTAAAATCTCAGTCTTTAGCCCTTTCATCGTGTTTAAGGTATAAAATTTCGGGTCTTGTCATTAGCTGCCTTGCTGTGTCATTAGCTGTCTTGTTGAATTACGTTGTAGTCTTAAGTAGACAGTGAGCCTCTCTTCAATTAAGTTTTATCTTCTATGACTTTTATAATCTCTAGGAGGAAACTACTAGGCAGAGTAAGTATTTTAAAGTTTATATACATAAAGTTATATATTTAAATGTTTAATTTCCTGTACTCTTGCTACTACTCGATGTGATTTGTTTTTTTTTCTTTTGGTGAAAATGAACTGTAAATTCAAGCTCCACAGTTTTTTTTTAATGCTGCTTAAAATACCATTCCATTTTTCCCAATAATTTAATATCGCCATTCAAATAACTCAAATATTCCTAATTAGATTTCGGGGTTAGTTCTGGAGATACCGTCATTCATTTTCAGTTCCTAAATTTGTACCTATCCTTCATTTTACTCAACTGATACTAAAGATTTATGAGTGCATAAAAAGTCTTACAGCTCTGGGTGATTTCTGTGAAAAGCAGACATATATAACTATGAAACAGACTACCCACATTCATCATTTAAAATGGGATTTGGTCAGGAAGAAAACTCTGCAATTTCTTTATTTATCACAGGAGCTTTTCCTTCCAGAACTGCTACACCCATAGCGGTGGCAGTCTATATATAAAAATGTGAATCACTTTAGTTCTCAGAAACAAACAATATTTTTTCTGCTTTGTATATTTTGTGAGGAAAGTTTTGCTGTAAAGTGAATTTGTTAAAACAGAAACAATGCCATTTGGAGCAGAAAGATCACTTATTTATTAATATGGGAATTATTCTATTATATTAATGACAAATAACAATTCCAGAAATGTTCAGTTACTGGAAATGGAAAATAGAAAATTGGGACATTTTAATGTCTGTGGTAATTCATTGTTTATCAAAAGTAAACCTTATGTAATTTTTTAAGATAACATGTCATTAGGTGGCATAAATATATTGTCAGATATATATACACATTAGTTCATCATGAATAAAGAAAAAATGTCTAATATTAGGAATGAGACCTTCATTGGAGTCTCTAAAATAGGGGAAAGGATTAATATTAACTGCCATTACCTGTTTTCCTACATTCAGCCTTCTGAGTGGAATAGAAGAGTTGTTAGAAACATAAGAAATTATTTCTTCTCTGTTGTTCATGTTTTATTTCAGTTTTATATTTGCAGAGGGAAAAAACCCCACCAACCTGACTGCATGAGCCTCAGCATATTACAGAGCCTTAGCACTACTCTAGTGTGTGCTTCCAGCAGTGCTACACGTATAAACCATGTGTATTTTAAAAGAACATTCACAACTGAAAAAGTCAAGCATTAAAAAAACTAAGAAATGCCATCATAAACACATGATGCCACCTCTGTTGATTTAAAGACTTAACATTTGAAGGAGGGAATTGAGCCCAGCTTTTTTCTGTATTGTTGCGGTTGGACACAATAAAGAGTTTGACTCTCTTTCTCACTTCCAAGGACAGTGTGTTATAGGATGCTTTTAGCTGTTTCTCATTTCCAAGCAGTTTGTCTTTGTATGGAGAAAGAGGGATTTGTACGTGTTGTTAGTCTATAGCTCTACAACCAATATCCCTGTAGATGTTAGCACTGTCAAGAAAAACAGAAAGTGCAATCTCTCCTCATTCTTAAGAAGGGAGGAGCATAGGTTTCTCACATTTTGTCTCTGTCCACCACAAGCTTTCGCTAAAAGGAATAAAAACCCTGCAACATCCTGTTTGTCTTTGAAAGAATGATCCCTTGCTGTTATGAGATGACGTAAATGGAGGTACCACTCTATAACTTTGTGCAAGATACCTGAGACCTCAGCAGACCCCTGTAGCCATGTGCTAGATGGCTCCCCATGCAGAGAAGTAATCCTTGTAGGTTCTGGTTTTGAAGGACATTTTTATGCACTGTACCTAAAATGCCTCTGTCTCTAATGTTATACCTTGCTTCAGAGGAAAGGTAATACAAAGTCATTTACAAAGCACAGGATAGGAAGAAAAAAGAAAAAAACAAAAACAAAACCCACTGGCTTTTGAGGTGATCATGCTGTTACCACCACTAAAAGTAGCATTTCTGCTTCAGTTTCTTCTATGGAGATGTTAGACTGTCAAACATGACAAAAAAAAGAAAATCACGATTACTGATCATAAAGAGGAAGTTGTCACTGACTCACTGACTGGCTGAACATCTGTCTTAGCTCCAGCATGCTCAGATTGGCCTCATGAAAACAGACATCTGTCACAGAATCATAGAATGGTTAGGGTTGGAAGGAACCTTAAAGATCATCTAGTTCCAACTCCCCTACCATGAGCAGGGACATGTCACAAAAAAGCACTCTCTAAACAACATTCAGCCCAAATCTTTTGAAAGACCTGATCTATTGTTCAGCAGAGTTTCCAAAGGAAAACGCATTTATACAGTTACAATGACTCTGCTACAATTCACTGTGTGCTATCACCTCAAAAATTTTTTCTGGTCATTTTTGGCAGGGCCAGATAACTAGGCACCTCAACTGCAAAGCATTTTAGAGGAGATGGGCTTTCTTGCTCTGTTAAAATATCCAAAATAAGGATAAGACTGCAGTAACCCAACCTTGACTGCTGCTAGGCACAAACTCATGTGCGAGAGATGCTTTATAGTGCTGGTGAATGTAAGTTAAGTTGAAGTTCGTAGTTCACTAGGAGGCACAAATCCTAAACAAAGTGAATGCCTCATATTTAATGATTACATGACTGCTTTTCATTTTGTGCAACATATCATAGGTGGGTGGAAGAGTGGCTTTGTCTTGGGTTTTTGTTTCTGTTTCTGGTTTTTTGTTTGTTTTGTTTTCTCTATATCTTTCTCTTATTTCATTCTATGGTTATTCAGTACATTAAATAATCTAACTTTCATGGCAGGGACAGGCAAAAAGGCAAGTAAGTAAGTTCAGTGTTTCAGCCATTGTAAGTCTATGGAGTACCTTTTTCCCAGAACAAACCTACTGCTGGTTGCCTATTTGCTCAGAGTATTAGATCCTTTGGCAAACATGTAAGACAGTAAAGTTCACTTGCTTTCTTTCTCAAGTGACACTGTGATGTTTGTTGCCTTTTACCACTGTTTCCAAACTTTATTGCACAAAAGATCAGTAGGGCTTTGAGACAGTCCCACGAGCTGTTATACTGATCTCAAATACATTAAGTGGTGCAAAATTATGTTACTCCCTTAATTACAGAGACCACACTGGTGAAATAATCTAGGATTAATGACATTGAAAACACTGAACAAGATGTGACTAGTTAATGACTGTCAAGTTTGCAGTCTTCCTCATTCCATATTGTTTTCCTCATAGACATGCTCATTGGTTGAACTAGCTGGCTTGAATTAATGTAACTGTAATCCAGACCTCATCTCATAAACAAAACTATTGCAAAGTAGTAAGTTGGTATCCAAAACAAGCACACAACATATTAACTTATCTGTAACAATAATAAGAGTAGCCACAAGCCTGAAACAAGAATTACCTTGAGAAGCGGATAGTGGGATTACCTTAATATAGTGTACTGTAGTGTCTTTGAACTGCAGTAAGTATGAATTATAGTAATAGAGCATAATATCAGTGTTTCACAAACAGGCATGTATTATTTAAATACAAGTTTTAAGTAGAACTGTGTTGAAATTCGAAACATATACTTTTGTCTTTTGACTCATTGCCAGCATCTGAAAAAAAACCCAGACTTGTACTTTGTCTCTATTATACACCAGAAAGTATTTAGCATTGTTATTGTAAGGTTATTTTAGGTCAAGCTCTTTTTTTAATAGAAAAATAAAATAGGAAAAGGAAGAGTTCAGGGGCAACCACAGATATTATCTTTGTATAAGTTCTATTTTTCAGTCAAGGAATTTGTGAAGAAAAAAGCTGCTGCTTCTTAGGTAGACGTGACTTGTGTTTCCAATGCTCTATTTCTGTTAAACGTATTTTAATCAAATATGGACTATTTCTGTTCTTTTTCCCTTAAGATTTATCATAAACATGCAGGTCTGATCTTATTTCGGGATTCACATAGATGCAATATGAAGTATAGCTGTATTCCCCGCTGGCCTCAGAGAGTGGCTATAGGAGTTTGCAACTCAAAGGAAGCATGTTCTTATTTTCACGGTCGGAGTCACAGTGTAACATATGTACACAAATCTCTGTCAGGCTTATTGCATTAGTGAATCACGTGAGAAACACTCTGGGTAAAAACATGGTAGATTTGATTATCAGCTGATTCCGGATTGCCACTTCAAACTGGCAGCATGCGCTAGGTCATAACAAGCCAGTTTGAGTACAGGAAAATATTAGTGTATTTTCAAAATTAAATTTTAAAAGTACTACTCAAGATTAGAATGTGACTACAACCAGGCAATATGTTAAAAATATTAATGAATATCTTTTCCAATAGAATAATTTCTCTTCAATAACACTTATTATTCTTTTCATTGTCTTCTGTGAAGAATAGTCCAGTTGAAAGTGATTGCAAGAACATAAACAGAAGATATGTATTTGTAAGAAACAAATATCCCATCAGGAAATGGCAATCTGAATGTGCACAGAGTCTTCTCCAGGATAATATTTGATTATGTTTCATTAATGCCCACTTCTTTATTTTTTTTAGTTGTTACAGACCGCCGTGTACAGTCCGAACGAAACGCTGTGACGCTGGATTTTATTTTAGTGAAGAAGTGTGCCGCTGTGTACCCACATATTGGAAAAGACCACTTATGAATTAGTGAAGAGAGCACTGCTTGCTATTTTGGTGTACATTTTTCCATTAGAAAAAAAGAACAAGAGAGACTTTGCTAATATTTGGAATTAAATGTTCACCAGAGACCCTGTGGGGCTTTCAGAGACAGACGCATTGTGCTTTTCTCAAGATGGGGAAAGCAAATGTAGAAAATATCTGGGGTTCATGTTTTGTAAAGAACTCAATGAGGACTTATTTTCTGCCAATGACCAAACAGCCTAGGTTCTCCTTCTTGTGATTTTTTTTTTAAAGAGATAATGACTATATAATTTATTTCCACTAAAACCATTGTGCAGCATTTCTGTTTATAGCAGTAACAATTGTTAAAGCTCACTGTGATCAATATTTTTATATCATGCAAAGTATGTTTAAAATAAAATGGAAATTGTATTATATAATGGTGAGAATGTTTAATCATCTGCCTATATAGAGGAACTATAAAAAGGAGTTCCTAAGAAAGGAACTACAACTCAGCTTTCTTATCAGAGTTCTTAAAAGGCAGGGAAAGTGGCTAAGAGAAAGCACTTTAATGAAAGGAAGGCTACAGACATTTTCTTGTATCTGTTATACATGTGATTTGAAATATAGAGTTATATTTAGTGTTTCAAGAGCCAGTGATATTTCTGTCTCTAGAATGAAACTAGCAAAGCAAGTAAAATTAATAACTAACAAAAGCATTGGAGATCCTGTACATTGCCCAAAGATAAGGACTACATTTAAAGGACAGCAGTAACTACTCACATTCCAATCTATTCACCTTTTATTTGTTGTTAGCATTCCTAAAGAATAATATAAAATTCTGTCTATTGAAGGTTATTAGTAGGAAGGTGGAAATGCCAACTATGCTTTTTTTTAATATTACAGGCTATACTGTAAAATTTGCAACTACATAATTCAGAATGCTTTGATGCACCTTTACTCTTTAATATAGTCAAACAGATACCTTGGTCAAAAATGTATGCAGTGCAAAAACACTTTGAAGGAAAATAATACATTTTACATTCTAATGGGGACATGAAAGGACTTCCACCAGTCTGGCATGGATTGACATCATCTCTACACAAAAAATGGTCAGGACTTCTCTTTACTAAATAGAATTTGAAATCAAACATCTACAACTCTAAAAAGAGGTAAGATTTTTAACTTGCATTGGAAGAGCAATGTGCATAGAACAATCTATTCAAAATGAAAATGTTTCAGAAGTTGGAAGGAAGTTGTTAAATTATGGAAAAGTTATTGGATGCAGAAGTGAAATGAGCAAAGCTGTAAAGCAAGATTTTTCTATCATGAGTGGGCAGAATGCAAAAATAACTTTAGACATCATTATTCTGAAGCGCTGGTTCTAAGCAGCTGTTCTTAAAAGAGTTATTAATTAAATAGTATTATTTGTGATTGTTTCCTAGAAAGCTGATGGTGGCACATTGCTTTTCTAGATTCTTGAATATTTAGATATTGGAGTTCCTAAAACTGAATGAAAGCTATTTTTAATTTTTCAACCCCTGTTATGACTTGAGACAATCTAACAAGTAGGCAGGACAAGAGGCAGTTTGAGAGTTAGCACTTTCCAGTGTATAGCTCATGTCCTCAATGTTCTTCCTAGGGGCCAGCTACTTATTATACAAATAAGATAATAGGTTGAAATACTGAGGAATGTATTTATTACTGTATTGCCTCAGAAATCAAATACAGGTAGAACTCCAGCATTTTAACATTGAAATACAACTTTGTGCCAGTATAACAACACACAATTAGCAGTCATGCAGATCATCACTGTCTAAACTGGCAATGTCAGTCTAATAACAAGAGGTTAATAGTCAAAACTTCATTCAGTATTACTAGAGAGCCAGACATCCACTTCTATACGTCAGCTGCTTCAAGGAAGCATAGAGTACCTTAAGAAATCATTTAATGAAGACTTGAGAAAACAAACTGTAGGTGAAGCTCCCAAAAATAATCTTTTTAATTTCTGTCCAGGCCCAATACAGAAGAGAGGCAGTGGGAGAAGGACAAACCAAATCTGAAACCAGGAACAGAGGCTAAATAACCCAGTATCTAACAGATAAAATATGTACTTGTGGTTTAAAAGGAGGGGGGCACAAGTGAAGACAGAGCAAAACTGCATTCCACAAGTAATTCCATGTAGATTATAAAAAGTGCATGTTACAATACTGTACAAGTAAAAAAACTACTAAGCTGAGCAGTGCTCGCTTTACATGTCTAAACTCTTTGAAATGAGTTAATAAAAACAGAACTAATAAAACTATTCTGGCTAAGTAGATATTTGGATTTGTACTGAGCATGCTACACTCCAAAATCATAAAACCCATCAGGGTAGGGAAGGGAAGGCAGGGAGCTTGAAAACTAGAGCATTGAACAGGAAGCTTCATCTTTATTACAAACATTAGCATTCAGTAAGGCTGACTTTCTTGAATGGATTTGTTATATTTCTTAACTTTCCAAATATTGAGACTTTTGGAAATAAATTATGTAAAGCATGAAGTAAAATTAAGATTTAAAGAAAGCAGAGAGCTGATTTCTAAAAGTTACCATAAATCAGGTTTTTGTCTAAGTAAAGTGACTGGTCAACCCTCTCAAATGTATGCAGATGAGTAGAATAATATATGCAAGCAGTTGATAGCATTTTCTGGTAATCAGGGTCTCCAATTCTGCTTTACATGAAAACAACAGGTTTTTTTAAAATGCATTATACACAAGAACACAATAAATATCACAGTTATCATTAGCACAGGCTACAGATTTCCCATTCTATGTGATAAAATGTGATTCTGTTTATCAGTACAGACACACAATCATCTATGTTTTAGCAAGTGTTTATCTGCGGGGAAATAGAGTGATGGCATAATCTGCATAGCAGGTCTTCCTTACATCTATTACATAAGTAGCTGATAGATTTACGTTTTCCATTTTGAAGCGTAATTTGATTATAGTCTTGCAATTTTCATCTTCATATCAAATCTTAATTTAGTATTCTTAAAATATGTAAAAAAAGAGATCATACATCTTAAAAGAAAATCTAAAAATATAGGTGATAATTCTATATACAAGTTATTCTGCACTAACTCAGCATTGAAACTTATATTGTTATTTGTCTAAAACCCCTGTACCTTCTACAAAAAATACAAGTGGGGGACGGAGAGAGAGTGTGTGTAGCTCTGCAGTAAATCACATTTAATAGTAAACAGACTTACGCTTGCATTTCATCAGGAATTTACAACAGTTTCTGTACTCTTTCAATATTGTGGTATATGGAGACCATAAATTATACAGAGCAACCCCTCTCTACCTTTATTAACAGGACATACTATTTACAGTATGAGTGTTGTTAGTCTGCTGACGTGTTTGTTTAATTCATTTTTAACAAGTTGATAGTAAATCAGTTCTCTTAGCTCTATTTGAAAGACCAGCGCAAAGTCTTGCATATGTACCATATCATCTTGAAAGGCTTAGTGTTAGGATTGCTTTTGGTATTCTCATTTTCAGTCTTCAGATCTCAGTGACAACTCCAGATGCCCTTGAATTTTAACATCTTTCTCTCTCTGATTTTCTGGAAGTATAACTAGCTATCACACCTATGCCAAGAACTAGGAATGGAACAATTTATGCAGCCAGTAGGCTCATCAACAGATTACCCAGAAGAATAGAATACATTATTTTAAATATTGTTTAGTTTATATTTAATTTAAGAATATATTCTTTAAATATTATTTAATTTTGCATTATTTGGGGGTATAAAAGGTTGCCTTCAAGTAGAAAAAATTAAAGGTTATCAACTTGGAATTTTCAGAACTTTTGTAATTTAGTCAATATGATAAAGTAATAATTTTAACATTATAGGATTTTTACTTTATTGAAAACATGAAAATAATAGTTGATAATTTATTTTATAGCTTGCTTTTGTTCTCTTTCTCTTTTCCTTTCCCCTTTCAGATAAAATTTCTGGGAAAGAACACAGGACAACCTTCTGACTTAGTGATGAAATACTAAGACCAATGCACCAGGTATTTAGGGTTTTTTTTTAATTTAGTAAATATGAAGGGCTAATAAGGACTATTAAAATTAAGCCAGTTTAATGAAGGTTTAAGACTCCAGATTACATTAGAGTTCTTAAAAGCTCTGGATAGATAAAACTTTTTTTATAGAATAACATACCTGGACTCATTTTATCTAGATTTTCATGTCCACATATTGTAATGGAATCTGAACAGTAGTAAATGTTATGAGGTCACCAATTGTACAATAGCACAGTTTCTAAAATTTCAGTAATTTCTCATTATTAAAATGTGCATTTTATCTATAGTCCGAAGCTATGAATCAGGAGACCTTACTTCAGCCTAAGAATATGTTGAATTACAAAAAATAGCACATTCCATAAAACAAAACATAAAACTTTAAAGACAATGCTTTGCTCTTTTGTATAAGCATTACTACTTGTTGGCAAACCACTATGGAAATCTCTGAAAATTGTATGTTACCATTTATTCCCTTTTCTTCTCAGCAAAACATTGCAATGAAAGTAACATCATGTAGATTCAGGTATTTTTTTTGTGGCTGTATCCATTCTTGACAGACACTGACCTTTTAACTGTGTTTCAGCAAACTCTTTATCCATTTTCTACATTTATAATCAGCCATATGTGATCGTTGAACTCTTCCCCTTTGCCCCCTTTCTCATCTTAAATTAGTTCTTTTCGATTTCTGGACCGTATCTCAGTCTCCCCGTAAGAATATCTGTGTTTCCCTTTCAGCCTTTCTCACATATCACTGTTAACTCTAACCCTTCCATTTCCCTTTTATATCCAGTCTTTCACTAAAAATGAAGTTGCTTTCCTCTCTATAACCATTTAAGATCTCTTTCCTCTTTCCACTTTAAATAATGCCAACATGGGGATTAATCTGTTTTCAGTTGTCTAGTGATCCTCTTTACTATACATATATGAAAGAACAAGCGTTAAAAACAAGTCCGAAACATTCCAAGTGTGCAAATCCCATCTGCCCAAGCAAATAATAAAAATCATTTCAATTGAGAGCCTCCCAAAGCAAATTTGCAAATAGAAATATCAGATACAGAAATCACCTTAGCAAATCATGCTTGAAACATAAATGACAAATGATGTTATCACCCTCCCTGTAAAAAGCACAAGCTTTAATTCTGCTGGATACTATCTCTGCAGTCTATCATTGCACTCATACAGTCCTCCACAATGTCCAGTGCAGCATTTTGCAACTATCCTCTAACAACAGCCTTATATTCTTCCCAAAGTTCATGTCTCATTTGCACTGTGTCGAAAAAATCCAGAGCTCAAGGGCAGGTAAGAAGACTTTTCAAACATGCCACAAAAAAACCTGAGGTCTGTGCACTTCTTTAGCACAGAAACAGATGAAATGT